GGTCCAGTCGTGTGATACAGAAGAGCCCGTTTCATTGCCCCATTGTCAAGTCTAACATCCTCCATTGTTCTTCTAATTGTCCCCATAGAGGCGCCCGTGCATGTGTGTGCGCGAGGCGTCACCAGTAGACGTCTCATGGGGAGATTGGCCCCCTGACGATCCGTCACTTCACCGCACTCGTGTTGTGAAGTTGAAGGTGACCGCCCACAGGGCCGGTTTCGGATATCACTCGCCACCGACGTTACCGTGGACAGGAATCAAACTCAGGTGTTACTGGGCTCTACCCGAGCAGTGCGTTCTCCACCACGCACAACCGCTCCACCAGTGAGGCCAAGCACCGTCGACGCGAGGCATCACGCAGACACGGCGTGTCCATATAACCGAGTTTGTGTGTGTTTTTTTTGGGGGGGGGAGGGGTTATATCGCGTAAATATAAATGTGTCGTTAAACCCACCACCACCCGACACGGCCAATTAGTAAGGTTCGTCACGTTAAACAGGTGCCCCATTCCGCTCCTAGTACAGCGCACATCGTAACGAATTGGCACGTTCTGTTTACGTGACTAACATTACTAATTGGCTGTGTCGAGTGGTGGCGGGTTGAACAACAACACATTCATATTTACGCGATATAACCCCCCAAAAAACACTGTATTATGGATGATATTGGTCGCGAAAGCCGACTACTACGTGTTAACCACGGTATGTGATTACACTAAAGTGGACTCTTGCACATGCATTGACTTAACGAGGACGCTCGACCTGCACGTTTCCCGACGCGCAAACACTTTACGCGCGATGGAAGCCTCCAAAAATAAATTAATCGAGCGCGTCGTAGATATTCCACTGCTATAGACGTGCCGCGTCTATCGTGCCACGTGCATAATACATAGGCAGCGTACACAATTAGTGTCGAGCCACGAGTGCTGACGGACAGCCGACACGGCACATTTCAAATGTTTTTGCTCTTCTCTTCCACCTGATCCCCATATGAGCAGTGAGCTGTCGCCGACAAGGCTGTTGTGCTGTGTAGCAACGCGCGCGGCCTCGCCACGTTTGTGTGCGTGTGTAACCATATGCTTGGCTTGCGCAAAGGGGCATATCTCACGGTATGAATCACTCCTCTGAAATGTTCCCTGTCCCCCAAGTGTAGCGTTGAAGAAATAATTTCCGGTAATATTACACAATTGGCATTCTTTCCTTCCTGTTAAACTTCTTTTTAAAAAAAAAACGTGTCGTGAGTTGACAACAGCAACACCACCAATGTATTGTGGTGTGTTACTTAATGATTGTATTGCACGAAGAGTACAGGAAACAGGTTTTCCCCTCGGTCATTCACCCGTGAAACGTGATAATTGTTCGTCTCTGAACAATCACTCCTCGTGACAGTCCTCCAATTTTAGTGTTGGGTTGTTTTTTTTTTAAGAATTTGGGCCCAAACTTTGGCCAGTCGTGCTGTGGAGACTTGCGGGTCAAAGTATGCCGGTCCCGTTCTGTTCTTCACCGATAATCCACGGCTCAAACAGGGCAGCTAAAATAACCACTGGCTCGAAGCCACTGGAAACCTCGGGCATTTGCCAAATGCGCACTGCATATCCAGTACGTACTTGCACGTTCATTCTCACGTTGATGTTGCACCGGACTACCGTTACAGTATTAACATGCTGCGGTGAAAATTGGTATTAGTCTGTATGCCCCGGGTATGAAACATCAACTATAAAAATGCTGTATGAGTGCATACATTGATTGTTTCATGATAAAAGTTTGTGGGTTAGATCGCGTAAGTATAAATGTGCCGTAAACCTCCACCACCCGACAGCCAATTAGTAAGGGATTTGTCACGTAAACAAAACGCCAATTAGTTACTGCTTCAGCCCACCGGTGTGTTGGAGAGTAAATCCACAACATTTACTTCGCTTGTGTTTTAGTTTGCTTTAACGTCACACTCAATATAGATAAACTACTGAGATAAAGTGCCACAGTAATTGATTCATTGATAATTGGAGGTGAACATTTGGAAGCATTTATCAATAGACTTCAGGAAATTTAGAGCGTTTACGTCACATCCTGCCCTGAGTTACAATGAACTCCCGAGACATCCAACATTTTTGGCGGCCTAATATTGAAAATTTCGATTTTTTTTGTATATTGGTCTAGATAATTATAGCAAAATGTCAGCTTTCAAACCCCTTTTGGGATATTTAATACCACCACCAAGCCGTACTTTGCACCACTTAGAAGTAGTTGTTGTGTATGACTTTACCGAATAGAACCAAAGAGTATGTTGTGTATTTGTTCTGCATAGTGGGGGTGTCTTCATCCAACAGTGGAATAACCATGACCAATGATCATCGCAAGGGCTTGCCATTTTCAATGTAGAATTCCAACTCCTGGCTTAGTACTGTACCGACAAAAGACCAGTGTCCCCAAAAGCATATTAGGCGCTGACATTCATGTTAAATGGCCTATTATTATTATTACTGTATAAGTTCAAGCGATCCGCCCCTCTCGCCTGAACAGACTCAAGACTGTTGGGACAATTCCTGTCAGCGAGGCACCTATCGAGTTCGGCACGGCAAACGAGATTGTGGGTGGCCAGCAGCACGCCCGGCCGCCTTTGTCTCCCCACTGGCGATGTTTCACACACCGTGGCTGAGCCGGGGGGGGGGGGGTGGTTGGGGGGGCACGGCGGGTTGCTGGACGCGAGCAGGAATCGAACTCAGGTGGGCGGATTCTGTAGCGCAAGGCGCTATCTATTGCACCATCGCTCCTTACCTTACGTTGACTCTACAGTATTCACAGCGGGTACATGTCTAATATAGGTGGGGGGGGGGGGTTTGTTTGGGTTATATCGCGTAAATATATAAATGTTGTGTCGTTAAACCCGCCACCACCCGACGCAGCCAACTCGTAAAGGTTTGTCGCGTAAACAGAACGTGGCCAATTCGTCACCCGAGTACAGCACACCGGTGTGTTGGACAGCAAAACCACAACGTTTACAATCGGGTACGTGTAGTTATAACGGCATAGGTTTAAGCGATGAGCTGTACATATTATGGCCCTTAGTCAATCCGCGTAAATACGGTGGGTTTTTTTCTGCAAGACTTTGCTGTTTTTTCCCCAGGATGTTTATGTTGCGTGTAGTCACTTTAAGATGTTTTCTTGTTTGTGTGTTTTTGTTTTGTTGCGGTTGCACCCGAGTCAAGAGCCGCATGGCTCACAGGGTTATCTCCATATATATAAAGCAAAGTTGTGAATATGTGTTGTCTGTTCAAAATGTTTAGCGTACTTCCCGACATGCAACGAACTTGAAATTTGCCATGTGGGTACTTTCCAGACTGTGCACCATGCAAAAAATATAAAAATACACTTTTGTAGGGGGGGGGGGGGGAGCTCAATAATGTATTTATTTTTTGCACTGCAAGTGAGCTGTGACGTCAAATCTGTCACGTGACCCGAGCATGTGGAAGCGTAACGCATTGTAGTGTAGTGGTTAGCGCGCTGTGTATGTGTCTGTGTGTGTCTGTGTGTGTGTCTGTGTGTGTCTGTGTGTCTGTCTGTCTGTGTGTGTGGAAGAGTAACGCATTGTAGTGTAGTGGTTAGCGCGCCGCACCTACGAACCCGGCGACACGAGTTCGATTCCCGCTCACGGCCACCGCCGGTGACGATTATTTCAACCGCTTCTGGGCCTCCCCTAGGTCGACTCAGCCTCAAACGAGTAACTGCTGTGGTGTGTGAACATCGCCACTTGGGGAGACAAAGGCGGGCGGGCGTGCTGCTGTCACCCACCCCCTCGTACCCAATAAACGGAACTGAATATTCGTGCAGAGCATTTTGCGGTACTGCGAGCACACAGGCAGGTGAGTGAGTGAGTGATGCTGCAGTGTTATATGCAAATGCCGTAAGCCACGTTAGGCAATGGGGGAGACGGATCACCACTTCTTACTCGGGCTGCGCGCCTCCAGTCACCACAGGTGCGCGCGTGGTAGTGAACAACTTTACAACAACAAAGTCAAAACAACGAAACTGCATCAAACAAAAAGGGTTCCAGTCAGTCCATCGATTGTTGCCGATACACAGAGGTCACACAGGCAAGTCAAAGTTCCCCCGTGTAGCCTCAACAGACTGTTGGGCAAGTGCTGTTAGCGAGCACCTATGAAGGGCCGGCACGGCACACGAGGGGGTGGGTGGCCATCACCACGCCCGGCCGCCTTTGTCTCCCCAGTGGCGATGTTTACACACCGCACCAGATACTCATTTGAGGCTGAGTCGACCATGGGGAGGCCCAGGACCGGTTTAGATAATCGTCACTGGTGTTGGCCGTGAGTGGGAATCGAACCCGGGTCGCCGGGTTCGTAGCGCGCTAACCGCTACACCACCACTCCCCACTCACTCATCTGAAATGTTAATCACATCACACACGTGTGTGTGCAGTGTGGATCTTCAGAATGCAAGGGTATGGAGTGCGAGTTCATATACAGGTATGAGTGTGTGTACAGTACTGTATTGTGCCAATAAAATAACAAGGTAGTATGTTTGTGTTCATTATACATATTCAGAATGCTGGTGTATCGGTGGTGTGTTCACGTACAAGTGTGTGCGTGAGCAGTATTCATCCTAAGAACACGTGTGTTCACATGCAGGTTGGGTGTGCAGTATTAATCTAAAAGACGTTTGTTTATGGGTTCATAGCTGTGTATGGATTTCGTACCTAAAGTTCGTGTGGTTACAAAACTTAATATAAAGGTATGAGCGCGTGTTCATATACAGATGTGTTCGTGTGCATTATGTATCTTAAGAACAGTTCGTGTGTTCATGTGTTCACATTCAGGTATGCGTGCATTGTGTATCTAAGAACAAGAGCTAAGTATGTGCACGTGTTCATATACAGGTGTCTGTTCATTATGTATCTTAAGAACGGTTAGTATGTGCACGTGTTCATATACAGGCGTGTACCACCAGTTTGTGTTCATATACAAGTGTGCAACACGTTCGTATGTATTCATACGCAGGTCTCAACAGTGTGTGCACGTAACAAATATGTGCACGTGTTCATATACAGGTGTGTATCAACAGTTAAGTGTGCACGTGCTCATATACAGATGTGTATCAACAGTTAAGTGTGCACGTGCTCATATACAGGTGTGTATCAACAGTTAAGTGTGCACGTGCTCATATACAGGTGTGTATCAACAGTTAAGTGTGCAAGTGTTCATATACAGGTGTGTATCAACAGTCAAGTGTGCACGTGCTCATAAACAGGTGTGTATCAACAGTTAAGTGTGCACGTGCTCATATACAGGTGTGTATCAACAGTTAAGTGTGCACGTGTTCATATACAGGTATCAACAGTGTGCACGTGTTCATATACAGGTGTGTATCAACAGTTAAGTGTGCACGCGCTCATATACAGGTGTGTATCAACAGTTAAGTGTGCACGTGCTCATATACAGGTATCAACAGTGTGCACGTGTTCATATACAGGTGTGTATCAACAGTCAAGTGTGCACGTGCTCATAAACAGGTGTGTATCAACAGTTAAGTGTGCACGTGCTCATATACAGGTGTGTATCAACAGTTAAGTGTGCACGTGTTCATATACAGGTATCAACAGTGTGCACGTGTTCATATACAGGTGTGTATCAACAGTTAAGTGTGCACGCGCTCATATACAGGTGTGTATCAACAGTTAAGTGTGCACGTGCTCATATACAGGTATCAACAGTGTGCACGTGTTCATATACAGGTGTGTATCAACAGTTAAGTGTGCACGTGTTCATATAAAGGTATCAACAGTGTGCACGTGTTTATCAACAGTTAAGTGTGCACGTGCTCATATACAGGCGCGTATCAACAGTGAGTGTGCACGTGTTCATATACAGGTGTGTCTGTGTGTAGTATGCACCGAACGAGTGTGTGTGTTCACACACACACACAGACACAACCTGTGCACATGAACGAGCCCGACCAGGTCTGTGTGCGGTGAGCACGGTTGGCCACTGCTAGGCGCGCACGTGCAGTGTGGGACTCACCAGGTTCGACTCGGAGCAGCAGGGGAAGCTTGTACCTGCTGACGATTGCGTCCAGAGGCAGGGCCAGTGGACTCCATTGAATGCCACCCGGCGGCTCCATAATTCATTAATCATTTCTCATCATTATCATCATCGGCAGCGCACTCGTGACCACCCCACCACCATCACTGCAGCAGGAACGGCAACGCCGCACGTGGCAGGCTCACAATCACCACGACGGGCTTCTTCGTAGTAGTAGTTGTCATCGTTGGGATCATCTTCGCCGTCGTCGTCGTCATCATCATCACGGGAGCAACACCTTCTTTACAAAGTCATTATCCTCCGTGATGAGCAACGCAGCTGCTGTTGACCGAAGTCGATGTTGAGTTTGGCACTCGCAGCTCAGCAGTGCGGAGGATGTAATGAATCTCTGTTCGCCATACAGGCTGTGTGCCTTGTCTCTCTGTGTGTGTGTGAGTTTGTGTCTCCCTCTATCCCTCCCCCTCTCACACTCAGCCCACTCCCCCCACTCCCCACAACGCGTGTTCTGCCCTCTACCGTAGTGGCTCTAACCGCAGCGCACATCGAAGCCGCAACGGAGATGCGCTATTTAAAAAAAAACAATGTACAAACGATCACACACATTCAAAGCAAAGTTGGGGGTCGTATAGCAAAGCACCTCCAAACACCCCCCCCCCCGCGCGAAATGTTTGTATATTCACGCGCGCCTACATGATCAGTGTTGTACATTTTCGCCTGACTACACGGCGTTTCATTCAGCCAAATGTGCACAGACCCAGTGGACACATCCAATCAGAACGCCGACTGTTCCGACATCCTCTTAAACTCGCACCGTTTGTGCTCCTGCACAGAACTTGTACTCGGCACTGCGGATACTTCATGCCACAGTAGATATCGATCGTTAGAGATGTCGCAACGAGACCACGCACGTTTTCATTTAATTAGATTAATCGTCAGCCATAATCCGCATGATCAATTGTTGGTGCGTTGCGCTATGATGTTGCATTATTGTATTATTGTGATGATGATGATGCTTGTTTATACAGGAGAGCTTCGGCGAGTCTCATGACTCGTTCTTCAAGACGGTCCTGCCACGTTTTCGCCAGTCTGGCGGCGCTGATCGCCATGCATAAAATCCCACTCGAGAAAACGTGATGATGACTTGAAGAACTCCCACATCGACATCGCTGACCCCACACCACCACCACCATCATCAGCCGCGCGGTGACCTCAAAGCTGACGGCCACTTTTTTGTGTGAATGGCGCACGCACGTGAACGCGATTTTTCAATCCCAGACTTAATTCAAACTGTTTTTGCTGCGTCTTGTTCCGCATTGACGCGCGTTATACAGCAACCTGGCCGTTTGCACACACTCAGCCGAACATCCACACACACACCCACACACTCTCTCGTTTGCTTTTCGGCCACGTTATACATTCAGTTAGCTAAGTAATCCCGAGGTCGCCGGTTCAATCTCCCGGTGCGGCGGGCGAAGTAAGGTTGCACGTTTCTTAAATCTCCCCTACCCCCTCCCCCAACACCCACCTCTGAATCTAAACACCAGTTTAGTCGATTGGCAGGTCAGGTGTGGTGGGTAAAGTGTGGGTACTCACACGTCTTCCAAGACGTCAGGCCAGCGTGGAAGATTAGACCAAATACCATTTTAGGAGGGGGGGGGGGGGGGAATTGCAGGGCTGCACTTTTACCACATGCTAAGCATGGTGGGGTGATGTGGTTCGCACACTGCCTATGAACATAGCTACCTCAGTTCGATACCAAGCCACGGCTAACGTCAGTGGCCATATCTGAACTGGTTTCTATTTTTTTTACCAACCCACCCTCCCCGACGTGGTGAAGTATGGTTAAATCCATGTGATTCACGGCGTGGGGAAGCCTTCATGCGGCGGTGGATCAAAAGATGGGCTGTATATTTTTCCCATATGCCAATTGTCCTATTGACATGTCATCAGATGTACTTACACACATCGAATGGAACGCTCGGTCTAACAAAATAGATCCATCATCGCACGTGTGTCGAACAAACGGTGCGAGTTAAACGGATGTCGGAAATAATTCGCGTTCTGATTGGATGTGTCCACTGCGTATGTGCGAGTTCAGCCCCCCCTACACATTGGATGAATGAAACACAATCGCACGCCATGTTAGGCGAAAATACACAACACTGAATTCTAGGCGCGCGTGAAGATACAATTGTTAGTTCACGGTGGCTTGGAGGTGCTTTGCTATATGACCCCCAACTTTGCTTTGAATGCGTGATCCTTTTATACAGTTATTTACTTTTAAAGAGCGCATCTCCGTTGTGACTGTGCGTGCGCTGCGTTTAAGGCCACCGCACCTCCGATTAGAACGGTTGGCTACGTACGGTGCGAAAGAAGTTCAACATGCAGTACATACATTTGCCACTCTCAGAACTCGAAATGAATCGAGTTCGGGGTAATTCAACAAAAAACGTTTTTTTGGTGGAGCCATTTGTGATTATCAAGGCCTTCAACTCACTGCAACTTGAAGGACAGTTTTAAACATGGGTAGCTACAACCCAGATTCGAACCCATGATCTCAGCGGTGCTGGCTGGCTTAAGTACTCTGATAATTGAAAAACAGATTGCAGCCCGCTATCAATCTACGTCTGATCGATAGCCTCAAGTTGGAGATGTGGTACTCATTTGCAAGATAACTAAAAATAAAACTAGTAATATTTGCTTGTAAATCAGATGATGAATTGAGGAAGTGTTAACGGGGAGCTGGAAAATTACTCAATTATATGTTGAGCGAGTATCATAGCAACATGTTTGTACGTGCAAAAAAGCCCCAATATATATTCCGTGTCACCCTCGTAATTGAGTTTATGTCCATAACAGTTTTTTGCCATCTCCAGTGGGAGTCCCGTCCATTGCAACCCTGTTCCACCCAGCACAATCCACTGTTGTACAGTCATTCTATGCTCCCGCGATTGATCCCCACCTTCTCCAACTCGAAATGACCCGCGTGGTGAAATATGGCCAAAAAATATCCACTACCTGCTCGGTTTGATGAGGCGCTCCCCTCCAGCAATGGATTGACAAAACGGCCGTACACTTACAATATTTTAATTCGGTAATCAGCATTGAAACCCGTGGTCTTAATCAGTGCCAGGCAATAATGGCAGTGCAGGACAGTAATTGGTTCTTTGAATCATTCTGTATGGAGTCTTGTTAGCTCAGGTGTGTGTGTGGTGGATTTCCTCCCAAGTGACACAAAACACCGATTAAAGGGATGGGCCAAACATCCCATCACCGGGACAGTCTGCAAAAAAAGTCTTGAGACTCGGTGAGGTTTCAATTGGACGAAAGGAATTATCGTTACGTGCACCTTTAGGTGGCCCACGCTCCAATAGAGATCATAAGACAAAACGCCACGTTTGTGTCTGCGTTACGGCTCTCTGTACGGCGCAGTCCCCTACCCCCTGTGTTTATTTTTGCAGTCTAGCACAAAGGTGAGAGCGCCTCCTGCTGAGCCCACAGATAAAACAATATAGAGCCGGTGTCCACTCCGAGCAGAAAATGTCACTTAACCACAACCACCACACGTTTTATCTATTATTTCACAAGCCCGACTCTGCTGATGAGACTCACGAGGTCGAAAGCAGATCCAGCGTTTCCATGCTTAACAAATGCTACTTCTAGAAATTAGCATGAGTCCGGAAGGCCTGGATAAGGGGAGGGGGGGGGCATCAATGTAGAATATAATTTCGCCTATCAGACATTGGCAGCAGCTATGCGCACGCAATATTCATTCATAAAATCCACTCGGCATCGCACTCAATCCAATACCACGCGTGCGCGCGCGCGTACAACGGAGACGAACGCAACACGCAGAGCTCCGCGAATTTCCGGGGGTTTCGGCCGCATTGCAATGCGATCCACTCCAGGAGCTATTTTACCACATTCGCGTTTTAAATAATGAGCGTCCACCACCGCCCCCTCAATCCCTTGTGACACCCACGGCCATTCTCTCCGTGGCTGGCTGTAACCAGAGACGTTAAGGCAGGTGGGCAGACTGCGGAAAATTGGGATTGAGCAGTGAAGTCAACTCGATTCACCTCGACCCCAGTGACCCCGGCAGCCTCCTTCGAACGAGTGAGCCATCTGTCTGGAGCCCCAAAATACTGACAGGAGGGTTCCGCTGTACATTACGCACAGCTTCTCCAATGACTTTTCCTCTTAAGTGTCCCCCCCCCCCCCCCTTAATGTTACACTAATTACAGTGAAGCCCTTCCTGAAAGACTTCTGGCCAGTGTGGAAGAGTAGGCCTGAATATCCTCCAGAGGGGCTCTCTCGAACTCCTTCTAGCGGAGATCCCTTCTGCCGGCAGCGGCGTAAGCAAGTAATTGCAGGACTTCACCATGACCTGTATAGTACTTTTGTGTATCATGCTATTGGTGTATCGTGTAAGCACAAAGAACTCGCTCGTCTGTTCCTGAGTCGTCTAACGTAAACTGCTTCAAAATTAAATTTTGATTTAAAGCTTTCGTGACTGCAGTAATTCATATTCTTAGCTCTTTCGGTAAAGTCACGTTTTTATTGTTTCCCTTCAACGTGACTTTACCGAAAGAGCTAAGTATATAGCTTCAAAATTGCTCTAGATTTACTGCCAAAAACACAGATCTACATTTTTGGCACAATGATTCATCGATTCAAACATTCTTACGCTCATGACACATGCACTGAATGGTGCACTTAAGGAAATATTATTTACAATCTATGCAAAGCGTACACGAATATTATATAAATAGCAACATGCTATTGTTTATTACATCGCAGGATGGCGAGATATGGCAGCGGCTTGGGAAGGCCTTCATCCAGCAGTGGATTGATCATGGTTGATGATACACTAAAAGACAAACCAATATTATACGATAAAAAACACGAAAGAAATCAATTCTTAAAGGCAATCGTGATACCCTTATTCAGTCATCAAAATATCAAGTTGACTACATAGTACATCGTTTAATCTTCTAGCTTGCATACATTTTCAGAAGGGTCGTTTATTTAATCTGCGCCTATCTGCTGAACAAGCCTTCAGTAACGGGAGCTTGATGGATTTTAGGAACCAAAGCAATGTTTCATTGAATTTTATTTACGTGCAGTTATCGGTGATTTATTTCGCCATACATTAGAACACAGTTTAATCTCGTGTTTTTATCCTGGCTCGGTGATCCATCGCTGACTAAACCGGTAAACCACTTTACAATGGTGTATGTTCAATGGCCATCATCAATCCACTGCTCCATGAGATCTGATGCATGTGGTAATGTGAAACCATTTGTGAAGAGAGTTAAGGACTTGGGACTCTCTTCACCAACCAGCGTTGTGAAGCATGGTCAATCTCTCATGACTAACACACCTACTGTTGTAAATACACGTATCATTACACACGCAGTGTTTGCCACGGCATCGCGCGTTTTCCGACGCACTTCTGCGGCCGTCTGGAAAGCTCTTCCTTCCGATATTAGGAAGCCGCTGGAACTTTTCACTTTTACATCTAGATTGGCAACTCATTTCTTTAGAACTGAAATTTTTGTGTGCTTAGTTTGTTATCCTTCCCCGCACCTCCAAATTAGCATGGCTGGCTATGTGCGAAAGAAGTTCAACATAATACTGTACATACTCTTAAAGTCCACTGAACAGCAGGGGAGCTTGAGTAATTGCTATAGAAAATATCACGTGGCTGAAAGAATTTAACTGTTGCCTTAATTTAAAATTTTTGGGCGTTGTGGTGATCACCATACCATTCCATCACCCCTGCAGCCAAAATGTCGTGGTGTCTGTTTTTTCTCTTTGGAGCAATTAAAATCTAAACCATACTATTTTTTCAACGGTTTTATTTAACTTCACTTGTGTTTGTCGTGGTCAAATCTTGTAATCAAAAGTTAGTCTACTTCCTGTTGTCCAATCAATTCCAAATTGTGCACACGTACTCAGATCTGGAGACAATGCATGCCTGTATCAAAATCGGCATCAAATTATCAATTAATTGCCTCCTTTCAAGCAACACTAAAAAATGTTTTGTATGGCCGGCTTATTAATTATATATTTTTGTGTAGGTCAAAAACGCCGCGGTCCCTAAACTGTGGAATCGGCAGGCGCCACGTGTCTCAGGCGCCACGTGTCTCAGGCGCCACGTGTCTCAGGCGCCACGTGTCTCAGGCGCCACGTGTCTCAGGCGCCACGTGTCTCAGGCGCCACGTGTCTCAGGCGCCACGTGTCTCAGGCGCCACGTGTCTCAGGCGCCACGTGTCTCAGGCGCCACGTGTCGCAGGTGCCATTCATGTCCTTCTCGACCGCGAGTTAAACCAAATTGTTAATAAAACCGTTGTTCAAAAAAAAAAACTTTTTTTAAGGAGTTTTGTTACATCAACCAGAGCACGATCCACTGCAGCTGCAATAAACGTTGCTGCTATGTATATGGCAACGCTGCAGCCAGGCGTAATCCGTGGAAGGACCAGTGTTTAAAACAAATATATCCTAAAAATAAATCATGCACAGGACACGTACTGCTGAAGAGATTTTAAACATTGCATTCTTAAATTATAATAGATGCCCATTTATTTTCTTTCCCACATCATCATTTTGAGAGAGTGAAAATAGAAGGCAATGTTACAAGCAATTTCAGTTGTCCATTATATAATCACCCAAAATGTGCCCGATTTCATCAAGACTTGGGGGATGTTAAGCAGGTATTTTGCCCGATGGGCACGATTGTGTGCAATATTGCAGGCTGCTGCTGCTGCTGCTGTCGCTGGGTTATGTTGTCCACAGACGGCAGCACAGCAACGTCGATTGTTGTACCGTAACAATCCCTTGGCTTCACCGACCCACACTGACCACATGAAGTATGGTCAGAAAACCCCATGGCCCATACTACGTGGGGACGGCCTCAACCCGCAGTGGGTGGCACAGTTACATCGAGCATTTGCACAATTCCTAGGGCTTACAAATTCCTTCGGTGTTATGAGGATAATACAAAACAACACACACCAACAGTCCGGCACGGTATTATAGTATTTATATACTTTGTAGCTTTTAAGTTAATGAGCAAAAACAATTGGTTTTAAGAACGATTGCGTGCAACCGATTATGATTCGTTTTTTTTTTTTTTGAAATGCAGAGAACACTGCATTAAACGTTAACAATCCATCCGGTTCAATTTTAATTGGGATAAAAAAAGCGAATTCACTGGCACAGCGTGTCTATAAAGCGAGCGCTCGAGACCAATGGGCCCCCGCAATGGTAACGCGCCAGGGGTTTGTCACGCGCACAAAGCTCACGGGCTGCCAACGCATCCGCCAGCACAATTGTATTTTGCCGAGGGTAACACTCACGGCAGTTAAAAACAAAAAAAAACAATCTACATATCGCACCACTTCCCCGTCCCGCCATCTCTACTCCAGACTTTGCCGCTTCTTTCTTTTCCTGTTCCCTTTCTTGCCGGTGGCTTTGCCGGGCGACGGCTTCTCGGGGCGCGACCGCTTGAGCGCGAGCCTCGCGTCCCTGGCTTGCGCGCCAGCTGCGGGAGTTTTCCCGGAGGCTTCGGCGGAGGCGCCTCCTCGCGCGTTGCCCACCGCCGTGCGCTCGCGCCTCTTCTTGGCCTCGTCGCCGGCCACCTCCGCCCCTGCGACGGGAAGGTGAAAAGTTAAAATCGGCAAGCGTCGCCGCTTTTGGCAAAAAACCGCGGGATCTACGCAGGTGTGTCTTGGAACACGCTTGTAACCAACAGCGCCGTTCAGGCAGTGCAATGACAACAACGAGTATGCCAAATTATGTAAATGTATAAGTAGGTTTTCACGGTCCATATTAGGATTCATAAATGGTTTAGATCGTGAAGGTTTGTCATTTTTTTTGTAACTATAACCCTCCAACAACACGGCAAGCCAATCAGAGCAAGTTGTCACGTTATGGGAAAATATGGTAATTTATTTGGTTTATCACCACAACTGGAATGTTGAAAACCCCCAAGCAAAGTTTAGGCATTTCTATTAGGTCTTTTGCTGGATATTACAAATGACGTTTCACCTACACGATCGAAACCAAAATAAACTAATTATGAATCACGTCAATGATATGCTTAAAATAGTACGGACGAGCAGATGTGCAGTAAAAAAATCCAACCATCTGTCACTTGGTGAAAAATCGCAATCGTGAAGCAATCCTTTACACTCGGAAGTGACTTCACCGGGGTTGGCTGGCTACGTAAACAACCCGTCCGGCACGGGTGTGAATCAGCGCAGCTGTGGCCCGTGTAGCGAAAGCTTCCTCGACGGCCTACAAGGCCGCACGCATTCACACGAACTGAGTCACGCCGGGAGAGGCACAACATCGCCGACTGAGCCCCGGTACCGTTAGGCCCCCCCCCCTCTCTGGGCACCGTAGGGTGGGCGAGGCCACAAAGCACTGGAGCTGGGACAATTGGTCAATTAAACCGACTAATCGTCAGTTTTCCTCTCCGTGTGTATAATCAACAACGTGCGTTTTAAGAGCATTTGGCCGCTGTAAATGTCCACGCGATAAGCCACTTCGTTGAGCTATCATTTGTGGCCAGGGTCGCTTCTGAAAGAGAGCTGTACAGCTCAGCGGGCCTTACCTGGGATATTTTTTGTTTGTTATAATCGAGTAATGTTTCTGCGGTCAATTATTGACGGCCCGCATCGTGGAGACAGTTAACCCGCTACGGAGCCAAGCCCAGTGTGACTCAAGCGGCGACGCCGATGACATCCCCTCATGTCCAGCGGGCACACGTGGAAAAAGGTGCGAGACCTTTACCCCACCCCCCAGCTCTTTCCGTGTTATCCTATTAGTCGAGCAATAGAACCGATAATCAGTAATCGACTCCATAAAAAATAATCAGATGTCTTCTTTGGTTCTTTCGGTAAAGTCACGTAGAATGAGAATAAAATAATAAAATAATAAAATAAAATAACACAATAAAATCATCACGACGTTTCGGCCACAACACAAGTGGCCTTCATCAGGTGAAGGGACGAGACTGTCTGGAGGACAGCGCTGGAGTGAACACAGCCAAGCTCAGACCGTGACCTTTAAGCTGTGTGAGAAGAAACAGAGCTCCTTGACAAAGGAATTAGCATAAAAAATAGCATTTAATTGGCGGTCTGAGCTTGGCTGTGTTCGCTCCAGCGCTGTCCTCCGGACAGTCTCGTCCCTTCACCTGATGACGGCCGCTTGTGTTGTGGCCGAAACGTCGTGAGAATTTTATCGTGTTATTTTATTTCATTAATTTATTATTTTATTCTCATTCTACGTGACTTTACCGAAAGAGCCAAAGAAGATGAATCCTTGCAGTCACGAAAGCTTTAAATCGAAATAATCAGATGGCCAGCTCTATACGGTAAGTATGCACAGAGGGAGCACGATGAACACGCTCCGCAGCCGTGCACTACAGACTAGGGAAATTTGAAACAATCATCAAATCGCAAAGGGTGCGATTTGAAAACTCCTATTAATTTCTTACTGGAATTGTTTTAATTTTTATTATTAAAACTTGATTTAACTTAACAATTGTTCTATGTTTGATTGATATATTTCAATTACAATTGTTAAATAAATACATGTTGGAAGCAATTCATATCTTTTAAGTTCTCATCCTTGCATTAGAATATATAGAGCAGTTCATATTTTGATGGTATCATGTGGTAATACTCCACCACATATTTTAAATCTATTACACAGCGAATATTGAACTGAAACTTTAACAAATTTAATCGCAATCACAATATCTGTCAGAAAAATCTCAATTAGACATTTTCCCCAAATCGTTCAGCCCTACGACTACAGACTCATGAGACGACACAGTTGAGCGGGAGGGGTTAATGCGTGGCTGAGAGCAGGGGGCATTAGCCCCTGCCCTTGCCCCTGCTGACCCAGATAAAATCAATGGTTTAAATTAATGCCTCTTGTGTAGGGGTTGGACAGCCTTGCAAATGAGGTGCGCACCTGCCGGTGCATTTGTCCAGCATAAATAATACATTTAATATACATTTTCTTAAGTTACTCCATAGTAGAGAACCGTTTAACTGCAACAGAAAATAAGACACGACGGTCATTTTCATACTCGTCCTTCTGTACTCGGAGGACTAAAAGTTACCGGCTTTTTATTTAATAATAAAATGCCAAGGTTATATGTATTGACACCGGCGAAACGTTGTACTAAAATTGTTAATGTTGTGGGATTTACTCTACAACACACACCGGTGTGCTGGAGTAGTAATTGGCACATTTTGTTCACGTGACAAACCTCATGAATAGGCTGTGTCGGGTGGTGGCGGGTTAATGACACATTCATATTTACGTGATCAAACCCAAAAAAACCTTTTTTAAGGAAGAACATTCTGACGAAAGAATGACATTAATAGGAGCACAAATTGAAAAGTTAATAGTAATTTCAAATGAACTATAATCTTGGTTCTTTCGGTAAAGTCACGTAGAAGGGAAATAATAAAAACAAAACATAATATAATAAAATGTCATTTTATTTCCCTTCTACGTGACTTTACCAAAAGAACCGAGAACATGAATCCATGCAGTCACGAAAGCTTTAAATCGAAATTTTTTTTTTTAAGTGAACTGTGTCGCTCTTTTGTAGTCGTTCCTCCCACATGTGTGGTGCCGCTATCATGTCTTCCAAACTTCTTGCGCCAATTAAACTCAATGTTTGTTACACGGAAAATCCCATTTAGCAAGTTGCCCCAGTTATATTTGGTGGCAACGGCCACAGCCGCTGACAACAGAGCTATTGCTGGAGCGAAGAGGAGTCCAGCCAGGAGCCAGCCAGGACACTCGAGGCATTGATGATGTTTAATACTATAAACTATTTTATTAACAACCTTTTACTTTACCAAGTAAGGCCCACTGAGCTACATAGCTCTTTTTCAGAAGCGACCTGGCCAACGAAGTGGCTTATCACGTGGAAATTAATCGCAGTCAAATACTCCTAAACGCACATTTCTACCACGGAAAGAAATTCATGCAAACACCAAATATGCAGCAGCAGGCGTCAAGGTCGATCGAGATCGAACCCACAACCTCCTGTATACCGGGCGAGGTAGTTAACATCTCGCCACCGCGGCATATGAAGTTGTTGGTCCAACTGGCCAAACAAACCCCCTTGTTGTCAATGAACCCGAGTTTAGTTGTTTTTTTCAGACGATCCCATTTAGACCAGTTTCACAGCTAATTTTACACGTGAGATCCGTGGTGCGCGAGCACATCGGCAGCAACAACAAAACGTATATTAAAAGCAAACGTCAATATTGCAGAGAATGAGTACAGGTCCTGAAGGAATATTGCACAACTCAGTGGAGATGGACAACAGTGGCAAACAATGGAGCTCTGCTTTCCCACGCCAGCGGCTGCAAACCCATTGACAAAACCTGCTGAAAGACGTAACACACGGAGACGAAGGACCGTGCACACGCATCGATTGTGTAATGCTTTCCAACACGCGGTTGTCCTTGGAAGGGAGCGTTTTATTTATTTAACAGTAGGGAAGCCAATAGCTGGGCTGGGTTTGCAAGAAGCTGCATCCTGGTCTGCACCGCGGCTCAACTGTAGAAGTCTCCCGCAGCACGACCCACAACCTCTTCTATCCACACGAAGGACGAGGACCGTAACAGCCGGGCGTCATTTCTCCGTGGCAGGCCCCCAAGTCTGCAACGTTGGCCATCACCGTACCCGATGCACATTCGCTGCAGCGGCGTTCAATATACACCGACTTTTAAGAGACACGCTCGCAACGCTCGCCACCTCTTTCAACCTTATTTCGCCTGACTTTCGAGCGATACCGAGCATGGCTCCCGCCAACTCAGGAGTCATTTATGTCCGTGAAATATTGTGCGCGTGAGAAATTGCATTACCATCATATAGGCACCACCGATTTAGCACGGTCAATCATCGATGCGCAGCAGATCGCGGAGCCAGCTCGCGCCTCGATAGACGAGGGCCGCTTGTTGCACGGCAGCACTTACGTGGTCTTTGCTTGCGCTTGGCCTGGGGCTGCGACGCCACTTCCTGCGGTCTCCAGACGGCGAGGCAGGTGAGGCGAGCCGTCGTGTTCACTTCTAGCAGCATCTCGGGGGGCTGCTCAGGCTGTGGAATCAACCACGCATGCGCACACACGCACCTCCGATTAGCACGGTTGGCTTATGTACGGTGTGTGAAAGAAGTTCAACATACCGTACATGCACTTGTCAGTCTCAGAACTCGAACTGAATCGAGTTCAGGATCATTCGACACAATGGGGACTTCCAACTCACTGGAACTTCCAAGGCCAATTTGAAACGCGGGTGGCTGCAAGCCTAGATTCGAACCCAAGATTTCAGCGGTGCTGGCTTAGTACTCTATTTAAAAAATTAATTGCAGCCCTCTATCAATCTACTGCTGGAATGACAGCCTCCGGTGGAGATGTGGTACTCATCACAACATAACTAAAAATATATTTTTTCTTGTAAATCAGATGGTGATGAATTGAGGATACGTTGATGGGGAGCTCAAAAATTACTCAATACAGAGGCACCGATTCCGTTAACGCTTTCCAACGTGCGTTTTGTCCTCGGGGGCAGGGCAAGCACAGGCCGCAATGAGACGATGAGGGACAATAATGAATCCGTAACATGGTTTGCAAGAGTAGCTTACGGTGATAGCTGGCATCGTAGCTTAACATCCATAATCTAACCGTGTTATATTGAAGCTTAACATCTGCACATCTGTAACCGTTGCCTTCCAAGCATATCTTTAAATAACAACCGTCAATGAGATCCCACTTGTTGTAAGAGGACACGGTTTAAATATAGGTAATTAAAATACAAACTATTTTTATTTACCAGTTAAGGCCCACTGAGCTATATAGCTCTTTTTCAGAAGCGGCCTGGTCACAAATAATAGCTCAACAAAGTGGCTTATCAGGTGGAAATTTCAAGCAGCCAAATACTGACTCTTAATGTGGAGGGAAAATGCGGACGACCTGGAGAAAAGTCCACGCGACCACGGCGAGAACATGCAAACTCTAAATATACAGCAAGGCGTCAGGGTTGGGATCGAACCTACGACCTCCTGCATACCTAGCGAGGTAGCAAACATCTCTCCACGACCAGGAGATGAATGAAACCCATTGATAAGCATGACACAGCATTTCCTCTCTTGCAAAGGTGACCTGAACTGCAGCGCGTGTGCAGCGGGAGGAGGGCAGCGGCGAGGGACACTCACCGATTCGGGCAGCAGTCGCCACAGCTTCACGCTGCCATCGCTGGACGCGGACGCCAACACGTGCTGGCCGTTGTGTTTCTCCGTGTACAGCGCCTTCACTCTGAAAGACGACGTCGACAAAACGCACGCCGCGTCACTGACACACGGACGTGGCCGCGCACTCCGAAGGGTAATGGGGAAGCGGAGTGGCCCAGTTAAAACGAGAAATGCGGTACATACAAAACGGACGGAATCGAGGTTATAAAAAACGTATCGTTTTACACTTGTCAGATGCAGGTGAAGATGTACGTGTCACATGCTCTACGTTGATTTTGAAAATAATCGGTTTACTTGCCAAAATGTTTGCGGTCATGTGGGCAGCGATGGGCGAGGAGCAGCTCGTAATATGAAATGGCGCGGGCAAAGGTGTTTATTTGTTTTTTCCAGGCACAGTTACTCCGCAGCCCCAATTGTGGCCATGCAAACCAAACCACGGACAATATAGGAAACCAACGTTAGTCTGCGCTCCCTCAACTGAAGAAGAACAGCAAAACTAAACAAACTCCCTCATGAAGAACATCTCGTGGTTTAACACACCCCGACAACGGCACGCATCTGTTGAACACCTCACGCAAGAATAGAACGTCCACTGGTGGCCCCTGAGCTCGTGGTGGACTGAAAAGTTACGCGGCCGACACGCGGTACACCCTACACGCTTCTCCACGTGGGGCTAACGGGCGCGCCCACACTCGGCTCACCTGCTCTCGTGCGCCTTGAACGTGCACACCTCCTTCAGGGCCTCCACGCTGTGCAGTCGGACGAACTCGTCGCCACCCGCCGTCGCTATCAGGTCCTCCTGCAGGCCCACGCGGCATTAGAATCCGGTTCACACGGGCGCACACGAATGCACGCCACACGTTTCGGTGCCGCAAACCAATGCTGCTATCCCCTCGCTCCGGATGAGCGCCACTGTGGAAAAATGTTAACTACCTCGCCTGGTGTGCAGGAGGTCGTGGGTTTGATGACAACCCTGATGCCTGTATATTTGGAGTTTGCACGTTCTCCCCGTGATCAGGTGACTTTTCTCCAGGTCCTCCGGTTTTTCCCTTCACAGTTATGAACATGTATTTAGAGTAATTTGGCTGCTATAAATTTCCACGTGATAAGCCGCTTCGTTGAGCTATCATTTGGGACCAGGTCGCTTCTCAAAAAGAACTACGTAGCTCAGTGGGCCTTACCTGGTAAAATAAAAAGTTTAGTTTAGTTTTAGCATCGCTAATGATTGCCGTTCCATGCCAAAAGCACATGAATGAGATCATCCTTTCATTTCTGCCATGGAACAGGGAAGACGGTGTACCCGAGGGCGTCCCGATTGGTTACGTCTTCTCGACTCTTTGCTTCCAACACAAAAGATTCAGGAGACCAACTCCCTATATCGGCAGGTTTGTGGTGGATCTTTCCCATCTCCAGACCTTGGTGTGATCAGCCTGCTTTCGCAAGCCATCAAAGAGTCTCGACGAGAAGACCTGGGGTTGGATTGATCCTCGACAGTTTTACATCTCCTGTCAGTCATCGCATGACGATCTCATGTCCGTTCAGCCATCAAGTGTCAAAGGCATGTTAAAGAGCCATTGACAGCAGTACACAATCATAGGAGCACATGCATTTATTACCTAGCACTCTTATGCACCATGTCAACCTCAAGGTCAATGTGGCCAATGACACTGACACCCACATACCTCAACATACCTTTATACCGTGCGCGGTATCGTAAAGCTTTTAAGTTGAAATGAAAAGTTTGGAAGTGACATACAATTTGTTCAGTTACAGATTATTAACAATATGTATGAATAATATTGGCAATCCCACACACTGGTAATGGCTCAGTTCAAACAAGTGCATCTGCTTACTGATGACGGAACGTCACTTGGACTACCACGTCAATAAACAAAGGGATGCCAACATCGAAGGGATTTAAGTTGGCAATCACACTCCTTAAAAGGTCCTTGTGTATAATACTGAGTAATATTGTTAATAAACGGAAATTAGCCACTTTCCAATTCCAGAACAATAACAGCAGCTTAGCGTGTCCAGAGATCTACTCCACATGCCTGCCAAATACGTACACCTGGTGTTTCACAAACATGACTCAAGGGGCCATCCATTTAGAACATACGCATGGAGGGAGGAGGGGGGGGTTAACCCAAAAGCGTACGCTTGCATATGGGGGGGGTCCTCCTCACAATGTATGTATACATAGGAAACGGGGGGGAGGGGGGTGAAGCCTCGATAATAATTTGTCTACATTGGCCTTCAAATGAGCCACAGTGCAGTTTGTTCAGCTGTCAGACAAGCAGCTCAGAAAAACAAGTGGCCAAGGTAAGCAAATTAATTCTTTAATGCAGCCGGCGGTGGACTGTTTGCATAAACACGTAAATATTTCTGCGTGGATTAAATATCGTCCATTCTATAAGATTTTGGGGGGGGGGGGGGCGTGCGTCAAGCGTACGTACGCAGGTGGGGGGGGGGGGGGGTGTAAAAAGTCCGCGTGCGTACATGGAGGGGGGAAGGGGTCAAGTTTTGACAGATTTTTGCGTACCTACTCAATGGATGGCCTCTAACCAAAAGGGACTTTTTCCCTCAACTAACAGGAGCCACACGCAGGCTAGTTTTGTAACATAGCCACCGGGGGCTGATGCTTTGGGTCAACCTGGAAAAGATGACGAGGCACCGCCAGCCTTTCACCGACGAGTATTGGTGCGTTTCATCAAAATCGTCGGTCGCGATCAATCCACCGCTGGGTGAAGGCCTCCCCAAAGCTGTCGCCATCTCTCACGGTCCTGCCATGCGACAGTCCACCCAGTTCTAGATTTAAAGCTTTCGTGACCGCTGTCCTCCAGACAGTCTCGTCCCTTCACCTGATGAAGGCCGCTTGTGTTGTGGCCGAAACGTCGTGATTTTTTGTTATTTTATTTTCACCTACGTGACTTTACCCAATAGAACCAAAGAGTATAGTCCACCCAGTGCTTGCACGCGAGCACTTTACGTCGCTCCATCTCCATGGTGGACGTGCACTTTCAGGCACGATCCCCTCCCCTTTGGCTGCCACTCGGTCGTTAGTGTGGACAAGTGCTTCACAACCGGTGTGCCAACTGGGCCAAATCCCAGGTGTGCCGAGGTATTTTCGGAATTACAGAAGAAGAAAAACGGACATCACCGTTCGAAAGGAGGCACAGACACAAACTCTCTTCCCTGCCTTTCGATTTAAAGCTTTCGTGACTGCAAGGATTCATCTTCTTTGGTTCTTTCGGTAAAGTCACGTAGAATGAGATTAAAATAATAAAATAAAACAATAAAATTATCACGACGTTTCGGCCACAACACACTGTCGTCCCGACAGTTCTGTTCTTTCACCTGATGAAGGCTACTTGTGTTGTGGCCGAAACGTTGCGAGAATTTTATTGTCTTATTTATTTTATTATTTTATTCTCATTCTACGTGACTTTACCGAAAGAACCAAAGAAGAGCTCTCTTCCCTGCCGTTCAGCAGCCGATCCATACGACAGACAGCCGTCAGTCCCGCACCCCCCGGGGTCCTCTCAACTCCCTCGGTTGCGCACTTGGGCAGACGGTGTCCCGCGGAGATAGAGCAAGCTTGAACGCAAGTGTCGTGGAACTAAAAATATTGAGAAGCACCGGTCTAGACGAACCGGGCATCATCCCTTCTAGAGACGCATCCTGTCTAATCCCACTTACTTGATTGTTCTTAAAACTGTATTTAACACGTGTATGCACTCTAATCCGTGGGGGTTTATGCATTTAAGCTACAAAAAATGCAGGCAGGCACAGTCAGCTGTCGCCAGCTTGTGCCACAATGCGTCTAGCCAACGTCTTACTCGCCGATATATTTATCTCGAGCAGAGCATTAAATATGACAGGCGTGAAACAGCTCAACATACTAACGCACGCAGCAACAATATGCCATGTGAATTTCTTTGCAAGAGCAACCCGTGCAGAATGCTGCACTTAATGGCGCCAAAATACTAAAAATAAATCTATTGTAGCAGTCACTGTTGAGTGCTAAAGCCATTACATAATTCGTTTGCCCGCTATCGCATAAAACACATCACGTTCACAAAAGAGCACCTGGAGAATGGCGTTGCATAACACACGTCTACTGATGGGAGAGCGGATATCGAGGTAGAGGAGTAAATGAATGGCAATGTCACTTTCCTCGGGATGTAACCCGGGCACTTCACCCAGGTGGGTGTTCTACGTGGGGCTACATTCTCCGCAACGTGTCAGCCAACAATATTATTGCATCAATTCCTCAATTAATCTCAAGTCTCTGAGATCACGACAATAATCTGACGTGCCACGACCAGACTGTGTCACTTTAGCATAATCTGGTCGTAATGTCAACGTGAGGGAAGGCGCGTAAACGCAAATATTTTTTAGAGTTGATAAATACGTCTCCCGAGTTTGGGCAACCCATGGGGTCATTGGCCGGTTGCCGCTAGGAAAAAGACTTCACGCCGCAGATTCGCTCGTCACAGATCGTATTTTTACGAGTTACCGTCACCTCACGTTACGGAGACAAGGCAAGGTTAGAATGCATCGTTGACGCTTTCAGCCGCAGCTGGAAAGCGTCAAAGAATCTTGGCAGGGGAAGGCGGCGGACGGCTTACGGTGACGAAGCGGATGGAGGCGATGCGTGCAGGCATCAGGATGCTGCCCGTGATGGTCGCAGTCGCCAGCCGGTACACGTCGAGGTGGGGGCCCGAGCACAGGGTGTACACGTCCCCGCTGGGGGACCACAGCACCAGCTCAGCGTCTGCGTGCACAGCCGCCGCCGCCGCCGCCGCCACAAAACACATGCACCCCCGATTAGCACGGTTGGCTGCGTACGCTGCGGAAGAAGTTCACCCAACATACATACATGCGTACGATGTGCTTCAATTTGCCCAATGAAGGGTTCCTTCAACTGGAGGCCTCAGGCCCCGATGAACCCGAGCTAACGTCAAATATATATGGCTCGCCGAGACACAGATACAAAATCAGGAGGATCAAAGAGAGGCCGAGAGACGGAGCCGCAGATAGGAGATAAATATGAGCGACGTTTTTATGGGAAAGTCCTAAAATTGGATTTGCGAGTCGATATCTCTGACCACAACCAGCAGTGCTCAGGTAAAAATGTCTGGTTTCTTGAGTCAAGCAAAGTTTAAGCACTGCCAGCTGATGAGGGTGTATTATTATATTTGGTAAAGCCTCTTATTATGCCTTACTCCGCTTGATGTTCTTGATGAAGGCTGACCTTCCTTCAACCAAGTTCCATGTCCTGCAAAACAGAAAAAACGGAATCAATTCAATAAAACGTGAATTTCAAATTAAAATTGGCACGTTTCACAATTTGCTGCAAGAGCAATACGCACATTTAAAGTATATATAAAAAAAACCATTGTAGTTTTAATTTCAACAAAGGTTGATTGCAATTTGACAAATTGCAGTTCGCTCCTGGGATAGCTCAGTTAATACAGCACTGTGCTTATGATTGCACGACCACTGGTTTTAAATTTCAAGCAGCGTCAAACCAGCCTCATGAATGGTTTAATCAACCTCATAATTGCCTTCATCTGCTCTGTGAGACCAGTGAAATGAACACCATCTGGTAAGGCTACGCCTCTCATTTTGCACTCGCACAGTCTTGCCATAAGAATGTGGAATTTCAACCAATGGCTGTATGTGCCACAAACCTCAGAGTCTTGTCCGTGCCCACAGAGAGTGCCAGCCTCCCTGACGGATGGACAGACATTGCCGAAACATGTCCCCTGCGACACGCAAACAACATACATGATGAGAACACATGAAGCTGTATTATTAAGAAGCCGCTAGAGCTATGCTCCAGTGAATCTAGAATGCAAATGTATTTCTTTAGAACTACTATTTGTGTTGATTGTTGTCCTTCCCCCACACCTCCGATTACCAAGCTTGGCTTGAACATACATACATAATATATACAGCCGACACGTTTGGTGGATTAAGTCGATTAACAGATTAGAAATAAAAACGGCCCGAATATCCCCTCCCTCCCTCCCCACGTCGCCGGCACACATGGTCCTACTCTTTTTCGAATAACGCCAGCGGATTTTAAACGTCCGCTTTCAGGCAGGTGGCTCACACTTATGCTTAATCATCTTTAGTTCCCTTCTGCCTTTTCTTTTAGAGATGGGAAACAAACCATTTAACTTCTCTGGTCCGTCAACCCTGTCCCGCCAAGTGTTTTCGACCTCCTGCTCCTTGGCTATGGGGGGGGGGGGGTTGTGTGGGGTTGTAGGTGGGGTGAAATATCTCGGGATGATGACATCAGCCCCCTCTCGCTTTGGAATCTTCCCTCATTAACTCTCACATCCCATCTGTCGCCCTGACGAAGGGCCCATCGCGGCGAGGTTGTCATGAAACTTACCACGGTTAATACGCCTGGAGTATTAACAAGGGTGGCTGACGGGCTGACGCCTCTGCAACAAACGGTGAAAGGTGCTACAACAATTCGAAAGCATCACTGCCCCGATTCGAGTGGCTATGCGCAAGAGACTGGTGAGGATTTGGCTCCACGATTTAGCACCGGAAGCCTTTGCTCACCCAGACGGAACGGTATTATGTGAAAGCAAACACTCACTAATGTATTTTTATGAGAAATCAATAGTGCTGCTGCGGGGGGAGGTGGGAGGGGTCTTAGTTTAAAGGGGCTCTGCACGGGTTCATGGTTGATGCCGAGTCTTTTGTAAACTTAAATAATGGTCAATGTATTCATGTGTCGTGCCAATCCATTCAGTGTCAATTACGGTTACCAATAACAATGTCCTTTACATATTAAAATATTTTTGTTCCAGTAAAAACCGCAGATTTTTCAAGACTCTTTCAGCAAAGTTTATTTAGATGGAAGTGTATGCGGTATTTCTTTGAAGGAGCGGTTTTTTTTTAGTTTCCTGTTGGAGGAAACTGGGGTGGCCCCAAGAAAACCTCCGAAAGCAAGGTAATAACAATCGCTGAGCTCTCACAAATTGGTTTGACGAACCCATTTGCTGCACTACCATCTCCTGCTAATTTGAAAATATCCCAATTCTGTATGATTAACTACCGATGGCCACTGGATTCGAAGAATGTACCGCCGAAGATCAAAATTGACAAAAGCATCATGGCCAATGCTGCCGATGCCACGACACCTTTGTCAATGCTCCCTCCCGCCGGCCAGAGACCTCGGCTGTAGCTCAGTCAAAACCTGATCCTGAATGCCAGTTTCTTCGTCTCCCACCATCCGGCTCTAGGTTTTCCCCTTAGTCCACGTGGCACATGAGCCCCACCCAAAACGCAAGCTCCCCTTCTTCCTGATTACCGCTGCAATTATTTTTCTTGCCACTCTATTCCACACTGTGAAAGCAATAAATAGAACTCATTGCTGCGCTTTTAATCGCAACACCACTTACAATATTAATATTGATCAAGGATTTTTTTTCTACGAGTATAGAGCTCAATGAAACGTGTCTCTTTTCCAAGGGCGACCTGGGAGACACACAGATGGAAGGTACACGAAGATGCGGGGAAGCTGCGAAGAGATCCTGTGACAAAATGCAAGGGTTGGCACTAATTATAATGGGGGTGCCACGGTGGCGAGATGTTAACTATCTTGCCCGGTACACCGGAGGTCGTGTGTGCGATCCATAACTGACGCCTGTATATTTGGAGTTCGCATGTTCTCCCCCGTGGTCACGTGCATTATTCTCCGGGTCCTCCGGTTTTTCCCTCCACATTGTCCAGTAGTTTCACAGACTATACAAGTCAAACTGTGAACCATATTCATACGGTCTTAATGCCATTTACGCCAAAATGGAAAGGTGTGGCTGGTGGTCATAAGTGCTCCAATTGACAAAAACCGGCTGAATGACTCACGGAGATGATGCCATGGCTGAGTCAGAGCGATGAAAAAACGACTGCTGAGATCATGGGTTCGAACGTTCAGAATTATCCACATCTGCCCATACGCCATGGCCTAATGGCGCGAGCACTATTCCTGAATGTTTAATGACCGCGCCATTTAACAGGTGGCGCACGTCTGTTTGATGATGAAATCATCGGTCAATCAATGGCCTCCAGGACGTGGTGTCATCCCATTGACACATGTCCTCTTTTGCAAGGATGACGTGGGATACAAAGTGCCTAACAAAACCAAATGTATATAAAACACACGACAGTCAACACAAAGGTACGGGAGCCATCAAATCAAGTGCCAACAAAACTATGGAACAATATGCACCAAAATACTATAAACCACTACTGTAACGAATCCTGCCCCACGTGATTCAATCGCAACAATTTTGAGTTGTGATAAGATTTTAAGAATCGATTCTTATTTTCCTAACGTGGTTCCCGCGGTCTAAAACCCTGCATTGCTCACGTGAACCAGTGACAAACTACATCTGTAAAATTAAAACGATTGATTTTTACACGTACTCTTCAATGCACGTTCAATGAAGAAAACAATAATCAATTTTAATTGCCAAACCAGTGCATCGTTACACGACTGTTTATTGCTACTGCCAGGACTTTTGCGGTTGTGCTGTATCTCTCTCCGATGTGCTTTCACATTGTACCGTGTGTTGTCTAGCAGGATGTCCGACGTTTCGCTTCACATCCTGGGAGCTTCTTCAGGAAATTAACTAAGCAACCTCACATTCTCACTCGATTATATCGTGTTTTCCGGCTGCTGGTGTTTGCTGTAGGACAGGCGATGTTATTTAATCAGCTGTGTCACGGGCATACCAGCTCATGTTGCTTATGACTTTATTATTATTCTTAGCTCTTTCGGTAAAGTCACGTTGAAGGGAAACAATAGTAAAATATATATAAAACAATACAAATTCTCACGACGTTTCGACCATTGACGACCGTTTGTGTTATGGTCGAAACGTCGTGATAATTTTTATTGTTTTATATATATTTTATTATTTTATTGGTTCCCTTCAACGTGACTTTACCGAAAGAGCTAAGAATATGAATTACTGCAGTCACGAAAGCCTTAAATCAAAATTTATGACTTTATTGTTATTATGGATGAATATCAGAAGGCCTATGGATTCGAACTGGTAAATCCAAACTCTCAGGCGAGCGTGCTCAGGCTCCCAGTCAAACTGATCTGCCAAAAAAACAACAAGGATATTAACAGCCAAGAACAAATTCCACGATTGCGGGCGATCCTGCGTGCAGCGTGGGACCGGGGACCGATCGCGCGCACACACACACGCACACACACACACACGCACACACGCACACACGCACACACGCACACGCTCTCACTTGTGGGCCCGTATGGTCTTCAGGCACTTCCACGTCTTGGTGTCCCAAATGCAGATGCTTCCATCCTGCGCACCGCTCAGCATGTGCGTGCTCCCGTAGAACTCCAGGCACGTGATGGTGCCTGGGGCACAAGCAAAGCGACATCAGCGTCATTCATTCACGTGTGCGCGCGTCACATCACCAAAAGCCACTGTATAGCCACTGTTGGATGAAGGGCTTTGCAAACCCATCGCCGCCCTCCTTAATGGTCCAGTGCTCCGTCATCCATCTCCCTCCTGCGCACGGAACTGTTCACATTGCTCCGCTGCTGTGGTGGTCGAGCTTGTGGATGCGTTCTCTCCTTGGGCTAGAATAATAACCTTGTTTCCTCGCACACAGCTTAAAGGTCGTGGTCTGAGCGTGGCTGTGTTTCACTCCAGCGCTGTCCTCGAGATAGTCTGGTCCCTTCACCTGATGAAGGCCGCTTGTGTTGTGGCCGAAACGTCGTGATTTTTGTTGTTTCATTTTTTACCTACGTGACTTTACCGAATAGAACCAAAGAGTATAGAATATAACCGTCATTCATTCAATTTAGCTCTATGTTTTACATCCCCTTCATTAAATCAGCTGTACATGTCATTCACAGCCCCGCTGCTCAACAGCGTAATGCAGACATTCACTTATTAATGCACATCTCCTTTGCTGTGTACATTTATTCCCTGAACATATTTTAAAAGGTATCAAGTACAAATAAGTTATATATATATAAAGATTACTGAAACAAATGGCACCACAGAGGTAGTTGGTATCGCTATCTTTTTTATTACAACACTGAAAGAATGATCCCAGCACGGTCCAGAGGTTAATTTAGATTCCGAGTGGAAACGCAGCATTTCGATTATTTTGCTGCTATAAATTTCCACATGAGCCAATTTATTGAGCTATCCTTATGCGGCCTGGTCACTTCCGAAAAAAAGCTACATAATATAGCTCAGTGGGCTTTCCCTGGTCATATAAACACTTTAGCTGTATTTGTATCTTTTTCTGAAGTTATTCATTTACCTCTCCTATACTTTGCGCTCCTATTGTTTTTGTATTGTTCTGACCCGCCCATACTGGACATCTGTGAAAAAGAGTGTTGTAGCTCATCGTATTCCTACAGTATAAACATTCTGATTCTGAATCACTCCTTTTCTGGCACCTCAAACCCCCTTCTTCTATCGCTGCTTTATTTCCTTCCCCATCCTTTGTGGACCTTCCCAGGAATCTCCACAAAACCCATTCATTTCTCCTATAATGGTTTCCTCCAATATAAGTATATATCCTGATTCTGATCGTCATGGTCGTCGACGTCATCATCTCACCGCTGTGCTGCAGAAGCGCCCCGTGCTCCACCCTCTTCTGCAGGTCGTACAGGTGCACCGCTTCGTCGGCGCTGCCCGTCGCCACGAAGCGGTCGCTGGCTGCCACGGCGGTCAGGCACGCCAGGTGCGCCTGATGCGTGAAGTCCGCCACGGCCTCCCAGCTGCCCTGCAACGCAGCGGAACAAACCATGCAGTTGGGCCAAGTTTTGAAGCTCAGTCGGTGGCAGGGCCAGATTTAGGCAGCAGGCAAACAAGGCATTTGCTTCGGGGAGATAAACATCCAAAAGGGAAACGCACACGACAAAAATTCAACTTTTAAAAATTTACTTCATTCAATCGATTCCTCCACCTTCCAGACTGGGAGGTCTGGACCGCCCTGCTCAACACGCTGCCGCCGCGACCCTCATCAGGACAAGCGGATTGAGAAACGAACGAACATACTGTGTTTAACAACCATGCAGCAGGCTTGAAACTAAACTATTTTTTATTTTACCAGGCAAGGCCCACTGAGCTATATTGCTTTTTTTCAGCAGCGACCTGGCCACAAATGATAGCTCAACCAAGTGGCTTACCATATGGAAAATTATAGCATCCAAATACTCTAAACGTGTGTTTCTATATGTGGAGGGAAACCCCGGGATGCGTAAAAACATCCAAGCGACCACGGGGAAAACATGCAGACTTAAAATATACAGGCGTCAAGGTCGAGATCGAACCCGCGACTTCCTGTACACCATACTTGGGAGTTAGCGTCTCGCCACCAGGGCTTTCTTGGGTAAATAAGCTTAATAAATTATTTACTGTAGCAAAGTCTCACCGAAAGCCTGCATTAGGTTGCGTGGCCAATCCCATTTGTGGATATGTGGAGACGGCAGTACCCAGAGAAAACACATTCAAAGCTCTACATTCTCGAGACTTATGTGCCAAACCAATTGGTGTACTGCCATCTGCTGGCTCATCGTAGCATTCCTAGCTAAATGCTTTTAGCGCCTGTCAAGCAATTAAATAGTGGCCAATTCAAGCACTACACCGGGCACGACGCCTGCTTTGCTTGTGAGATGCGAAGAAATCGGGCGATTTCAGGATATGGTCATAGGCAGTATCGCGTCGTGGAAAGCCAAAATTGGTTGCCTTGTAATCAGTATGGCCCCTGGCATGGAAATCAGAATATGTATTTATACGGAAGGAATCCAATGAACTATAAAGCTCTTTTTCACAGATATCCAGGAGAGACGGTTCAGAATGTTACAACAAAACAAAAACACGATAGGAGTGCGAAAGTATAGGAAAGGTAAACAAATCACTAAAATACATACAAATAAAACTAAACTATTTTGTATCTTACAAAGTAACGCCCACCGAGGTATTTGCTTGGTTCTCAGAAGCGACCTGGCCACAAATGACAGCTGAACAAAGTGGCACACCATGCGGAAATCCACAGCAGCAAAACAAAAATCAAAATCATCGAAATGCATTATTCCAAAATGCGGAGGGAAAACCGGAGAACCCGGAGGAACAAAAAAAATCCAAGCGATTTCTGTCCACCGCACGGCAGAAATGTACAGCCCCACACGCGCAATACATTAAACTTGAGAGTCGCCAACTTTCAAATGAGACTTTGAATGCACTCATCCATTAAAGACATTGAGACGGTGGTGGTAATTTCACGTTCTTATGACAGTGTTAACCCCCCCTCTGACCTGGTTATTTTGTTTTAATGACATGTCAATCATTTAAACGGCAAAGTCTCATTGATTATCAAGACCCTTTGCAAGGAGTACTTTTTGGGCTGTTGGGAAAGAAGTAGCTTGTAGGGCTAAAGTTGAAACTAGTTTTTAATAAAATATATACCTCAAGTTTAAACGAGAAGTGTTTACTGTTATATTTCTGTTAAATAAACATATGCTACAATAAGTGAATTGGCCAAACATTCCCCAAGGAAAACTTCCATGAGGCCTCAAAATGGTACTGGCAAAAATTAAATCTTCCATTTGCACTCCTTGCTGGAGCCGATTAGCACGGTTGGCTACGTGCGGTGTGAAAGAAGTTCAATGCATCATTAGACCTCCTTTGCCAGTACCAAAATGTAATAATAGGGTTTTTCCCCTTTTTTCTGGCAACAAAACTTAAACCTTTTTACAAGGATTCATGTCTGCATTAACCACAATACCTGCAGTCAAAATGCAAACAAAAAACATACTATGATAATATATGCATCGTCCTTGAAACTGATTGGTCCACACCAAGGGACGGCTTTCTTTTGAGCCTCGACCCAATTGGTGCTCGACCAGATGACGCCAAAAGGCGTCACACAGCTCAAAGACAATGCACTATCAAAGTAATGAGGGCTCGGGGTGACCATCTACATCATTAGACCTCCTTTGCCAGTACCAAAATGTAATAATATTTTGACTGCAGGTATTGTGGTTAATGCAGACATGAATCCTTGCAAAAAGGTTTCAGTTTTGTTGCCAGAAAAAAAGGGAAAAACCTTATTATTATTATAAGTTCAACGCACTGCCACATACGTACAAATAATTATTTAAGCCGACGAGAGGGGGGGGGGAGAGAATTCGCGAACAGAAAAAAATGGGATGATTGTTTTGGGTGGAGTTTACAGCACGCGTGTTTGTTGTTGAAAAGCCAAGAGAAGGATCAGACGCATCAAGAGGGCGATCCGCACTTGGAGCTTCTCCGGCATCGCAATCGGACCACGAGGAATTGCTCCTACGCGTGGCAATGTCTTCATCCAGCAGTGGACAAGGTCTTTGGTTGCTAATGGTTGCGCTGTACGAGTCGTTGTTGGCGGTCATGCCGCCTTGGCAGCAGGGCGCGCAAGCGGAGGCCTCCAAAAAAAATAAACACAACTCAACACGTTCTTTCGGTAAAGTCACGCAGAATGAGAATAAAATAATAAAATAACACAATAAAATTCTCACGACGTTTCGGCCACAACGCAAGCGGCCGTCTTCAGGTGGTTCTGTACCTTTCACCTGAAGACGGCCGCTTGCGTTGTGGCCTAAACGTCGTGAGAATGTTATTGTGTTATTTTATTATTTTATTCTCATTCTACGTGACTTTACCGAAAGAACCAAAGAAGATGAATCCTTGCAGTCACGAAAGCTTCAAATCGAAACGTTCGTCAATAACGCCGTGGCCTTTAAACTATGTTCAAAACGCTGTTTTTATTTTAGCAGATAGGGCCCACTGAGACACGTGGCTCTCATTCAGACGCTACCTGGCCACAAATGATAGCTCAACGAAGTGGCTTATCGCGTGAAAATGTATAGCAGCCAAATGACTCTAAACGCGCACGTTGTTGATTCTAAATGTGGTGGTTGGGGGGGGAGGAAATTGGAGGACCCGGAGAGAGAAACAATCCACGCGACCACGTGGAGAGAGTCGCGCAAAACTCCAAACGTACAGGCTTTAGGGTCGGGATCCAACCCACGACCGCGCCTGCATATCGGGCGAGGTGGTTAACGTCTCGCCACCGAAGCGTCATTAACGGACACATCAAAAAGCGACGTTTCGGGCAATGGCTCTACTTCATAGCACTCGGAGAGACCTGACACATATGCACTCGTGTCGCTCGCGCGCCATAGCGTGGTAGAGTACAGTAATACGGCATGAGGGGTGGGGGGGGGGGTAATCCACGTGTAGACAAACTGTGTAACTCGCTACACGTGTTCTTGGTTCTGTCGGTAAAGTAATCATAATAAAACATTTTTTTTATTATTATTTCCCTTCTACGTGACTGTACCGAAAGAACCAAGACTATGAATCCCTGCAGTCACGAACGATTTCAATCGAAATTCGCTACACGTGGTTCACACACACACCACACAAAACACCCGCCCCGACGCACGCACGCGCGCGCGTGATTTTTATACATATAACAATAAAACGTAATGAACTTACATCGTCGTTAACCTTCACTCGATAGCCGAAGAGAACTTTCTCGTAACACCCCGCCACGATCTCCATCTCTCCAGCTGCGGCGGGAACGTGGACCCACGAGCTCCTCAGATTTCCCAGTGCGCATAAGGAACCCGCGGGTGGTCCACGGTGTATAGGGGAGAAGGGGGGGGGAGACTCAGCCCTAGTTCGGCCATCTTTGTACGGGAAGCTTCCCATTGGCTCAACGTAGGGGGAGGGTTGCGTGACGTCACGGGTAAAACCCCTTACAAATATGGCGACGTCGTCGTGTAATCACGTGGTGGCGGGTGTGGCCCAATGGCGATTGCGGATTGAGGGCAACGTGGGCCAGAAATCGGAAGTGGCAGTGCACCACGTGACCCGAGCGAGTGTGGTGGGGGGGGGGTCCTCAATCAGCTGCGCTCCACGTGGGTTCGCTCCTGAGGCGTCCGTTGCACATTCACGCCGGTGCCTCTCGCAATGTTTTTTTTGTTTCGTATTTTTATATTTAAACATATCTTTTTTATTGCGAAAGGGGATTTTAACAAACATAATTGTATCGCTGTCGACGCAAACACTGCTTGGACAGAGAATATGTGATATACAGTAAAGTTTTAACCAGAGGGTGCGAACATTATAACTTGATTCAGATGTTGGATGTCCATAGACTACTATAGCATATTTTATTTATTTTTTACATACTTGACTTTACCTAAAAAAACAAGAGTACTATAGCATACACCAAAGTACTGTATGTGTTGAGTGTCCTTCCATCCTGAGCAAGAGGTGGAAATTCAAATTCTCATGGCAATAAATACTACTTTAACACGCGCCTTAAATAATAAAGGATCACCGCCTTTGAATATACAGTACAGCCACTGTTCAACACAAATTTCTCCCAAATTGTTAATTTTATCCACTCCCGGAAAGTATTGTGATGATGATGGGGTAAAGTTCTCCGGTGACCACAAATAACACAAATACGAGCGGGGGACCCCCTCCACATCTCTTAATGTTCGACGGCTTGTACACCAGATCTTATTTATTCACGATGTACTTACAAAAAAATCCGCAGACTACCTACTGGATCTCCTCTCTGTTTCAAAGAACAAATTTGACCTCAGGTCTTCGCTCATTTACCAGCTTCACATTCCCTATTGCCGTACAAAAACTGGAGGAAGGGCCTTTGCTATTGATGCCCCCAGGGTCTGGAATGCTATTGCCAATAAACTGCAACTTGAATCGCTACCAATGAGATCTTCACTCAAAACTGCTCTAGAGGAGTTGTACACCCCTAGCTGCCACTGCTATTCAGTGGCCTAAAATAAATAAAATGTTTCGCTCCGGATGACCGCTGCAAAGTATTATCTGTATTTTTATTTAGCGTGCTGATCATAAAGGTGCATTGAAAAATGTGATACTCCGACTGATGCTTGTTGTTGTGGAGTGACTCATGCAGCCAGCTATGGCTCTAGGGTTTGGTGTTACATGTTATTTATGTAGTTTATTGTAAACAAAATTCGGTCACAGTTCCTGTGATCACTGTTACATTGAATTTATGGCTTTATTTTGGTGATTTCTAAGTTTTTTGGTTTGGACATGTTTTTGTTTATTGTAGTACGGAGTTAAGACTGATAGCCTTAATCTAAGTTTTCTTGTGGTTGTTGTTTGACTTGCATCCCACTCGGATTTTTGCACAGCGTTGGTGTACGGTGCTATTTCAAGTATATTTTGAATTTTTTTTCCCTGTATTTTCTGTTTGCACAGTCACACATAGTCACTTTAAGATGTTTTCTTGTTCATGTTTTTGTTTGTTGCGGTTGCACCCGATTCAAGAGCCGAATGGCTCACAGGGCTATACCAAATAAATGAAACTAAACTAAACACACCAATCAAAATTTAAACACACAAAATAATAAAATATATAAAACAATAAAAATTCTCACGACGTTTCGACCATAACACAAACGGTCGTCATCAGGTTTGTGTTATGGTCGAAACGTCGTGAGAATTTTTAGTTTTATATATTTTTTATTATTTTATTGTTTCCCTTCAACGTGACTTTACCGAAAGAGCTAAGAATATGAATTACTGCAGTCACGAAAGCTTTACATCAAAATTTAAACACACAAAGTCACTGTCCCCCCGTCATCCAGCAGTGGGGTGTGACAGGTATACCTCTCGAGCACATTGTACTCCTACATCAATCGAGAGAGATGGGGGGGAAGGGGGGAGCCCTCCCCCGTGTCACTCTACCGCGTACGTGCACTTGAAGCGGGCCCCACAGCGGGGTTGTCCGCGCTCTCCGATGACGTCATCCCAGAGGCGTCTCTGCGAAGGAAGGACCCGGGGTGGTCCGCGCTCTCCGATGACGTCATCCCAGAGGCGTCTCTGCGAAGGAAGGACCCGGCCGAGACGCGTGTCTCCGGGCGGTTCCACACCCCCTCCTCCTCCTGCTGCTGCTGCTGCTACTCCCACCTCAGTCTCCCCCTCTCGGTGTCTCGTCCACCTCACTCCTCCTCCTCGTCGTCGTCTTCCTAACCTCCTCGTCTCTTTCCCTTCCCCCTTCCCGTCCCCGACCCCCGGTCCACACAACGCGAGGCGCCCGTCGGCTGCGAGGAGCGAGCATGGCGAGCTTGTGGATGGGCGACGTACGTTGTTCTTGCTTGTTAACATATGTTGAAGTGTACAGTGCGTGTGTGTTAATGTTCGTGCAATGTATGGACCGTCCGCTTAAGGTGTACGTTGTGCGTTAATGTATGCGGCTTGTATAGGCTGCGCGTGCGCTATAATGTTTAAGGTGTACGTTGGTGTGTTAATGTATGTGTCGTGTATATACTGCGTGTGTATTATAAAGTGTGAGGTATTTTGTGTATTATTGTGTGTGTAATGTATATACTGCATGTGTGCATGTTTAAGGTGTACATTGTGTGTTACTGTATGTGTCGTGTATATACTGCGTGTGTATTATAAAGTGTGATGTACTTTGTGTATTATTGTGTGTGTAATGTATATACTGCATTTGTTTATGTTTAAGGTGTACATTGTGTGTTAATGTATGTGTCGTGTATATACTGCGTGTGTATTATAAAGTGTGAGGTGAACATTGTATATTACTTTGTGTATCATGTATATACTGTATGTTTAAGGTGTACATTGTGTGTTGTGTATATACTGCGTGTGTATTATAAAGTAAGTATACTTTGTGTATTACTGTGTATAATGTATATACTGCATGTGTGTATGTTTAAGGTGTACATTGTGTGTTAATGTATGTGTCGTGTATATACTGCGTGTGTATTATAAAGTGTGAGGTATACATTGTGTATTACTGTGTATAATGTATATACTGCATGTGTTTAAGGTGTACATTGTGTGTTAATGTATGTGTTGTGTATATACTGTGTATTACTGTGTGTATAATGTATATACTGCACGTGTTTAAGGTGTAAATTGTGTGTTAATTTATGTGTTGTGTATTACTGTGTGCATAATGTATATACTGCATGTGTTTATGTTTAAGGTGTACATTGTGTGTTAATGTATGTTTTGTGTACATATTGCATGTGTATTTTAATGTATGAAGTGTACATTGTGTATTACTTTGTGTATCATGTATATACTGCATGTGTTGTGTTTATAGTGTGTTAATGTTTGAGTATTGCCTCCATTGTCTGAAAGTGTATAAGTTTTATATTGTGTTTGTTTAGATTGTGTGTTATTGTGTTAGTGGAGTTTAACACGTAGGCTTTCGCGATCAATATTATCCATACACTTGTTTTGGGGTTAGATCGCGTAAATGTATAAATGTTGTGCCGTTAAACCCGCCACCACCCGACGCAGCCAACTCCTAAAGGTTTGTCACGTAAACAGAACGTGGCCAATTCGTTTCCACTTCATCACAGCGATTTGTGTTGGAGAGTAAACCCACAACATTTACAATTCGAGTGCGACGTTTCGCTGGTGATTACAACCAGCTTGATAGCCAGAATTGTGAAGAAATCCTGTTTCGGTCTTAAAATAGGGGGAATAAAGGTTAATGTACCTTTATCTGAAGATTGCGAGTGCGTTAAAAGTTTGTTCGTTCATTGTGCATTAATATACACCGTACAATTCGTCTCGTAAGATTAAAACGTTCACGTTGTGTACGTATTACGTTGTGTACGTATTAACCTTGTTTATATTTATAGAGCGTCTATATACGGGGTACTTTATATGCGGTGTGTCTAAATAAAGTGAAATGTGTAAAAGGTCTGTTATGTACGTGTTGACATGTGTAATGTACATGTTGCATATTACTGGTGAAGTATGGTCAAACAAACCCGGCCTCCACATGCATGGTGCGGGGAGACCGTCATCCTGCAGTGATTTGACAAACGACCCCGTACATCGATACATTTAAGAGCGTTAACACGTGTTGCGATTCATACATGTATATGCTTGTTTTAAATATGCTGGTGAGAATCGGCTACGATCTTCCTCCACCACTGGATCAGAGCCTCGCCAAGGCCACAGGCCATAATACCCTGACGGTCGTGTGATTCCAATATTCTGTGTTGCTGATCGCGAGCAGAGAGATCTCTCTCGTCGGTATCATTGCTGGACCTCCTCGCCGGCTGGCATGTGTTTTTCTCCTTCGCTTTTCCACTGTTCATTTGTCACGAACACTCAGCCATCGTAACTTCCCCCCCCGCCACTCTAGCAACGTGTCCAGCCCAAACTCTTCACTAAATTTTCCGAGCAGTAAAAGTGATGCCTTTAACCTCTAATCTGTGTGCCCCTCAATCGATTTCTCCGTGTAAACTTGGCCCACTGTTCATAATGAGTTGTGAATGCCCACGTTTCTGATCCGTGTCATAGCAGGGCAATATGCACAGATTATAAACTTTGTTGTTTTGGAAAATTAGTTGAGTCACTTTTCATGATTCATTTCAGTTTTCCAAAGTCACACCAACCCATGCCTTTGTCCTCCCACTTATGTAACCATGGTGATCCTGGTTCACCTTCAATGACGATGCATTTATTGAGGTTTTTTGAGACACCTGGCCAGGATTGTGCAAAGGACACAAGCCCACTTTTCACCCAGGCAACCGGAGGGCACCTGGGTACACACGCTTCGTCACGTTTTCCACGTGTCCCTCCAACAGGCATGCTATATACTGTGTTTGGCACACTTGTATGTGATTTTTGATCGGCTCGTATTTTGTCTTAGGCCTCGGCAAGGTAAGGTTAAAGGTCAAAAGCAATGAGCCTACCTTTACCCTACCTTACCCCATACAAATTACCCGATCACAGGGTAATTACTTGGGCACTACTACACCCTTTTACCCGGTAAAAAGGGTAAATTACCTTACCTTGCCGAGGCCTATTTTGCCTTGAGACCAACCGTCTCCAGCAGTTCATTTCAGAATCGGAGTCTATTTATCCTGGAAAAAATCCGATGAGTTTTGAAGCTCCTTTTCAGAGATGTCCAGTAAGGGTTGGGTCAGAAAGTTACTCCAACAAACAATACAAACAAACATAGGAGTGCGAGGGAGAGGAAATGTTAGAAGATCCCCTAAAATAAATAAACTTTAAACTAAACTATTTTATTTTACCAGATAAAGCCCACATTGAACTATTAGTTATTTTTCAGAAGCTATCTGGCCACAAGTTGATAACTCAACAAAAAGTGGCTTATGTGGAAATTTATAGGAGCCAAATAATCTAAACGCATGTTTCTATAATGTGACATTGATAATATATTCTCCATCTTCTGTATATCTATGCATTTGTTTTTCCAATCCAATTTTAGGAAGGCATTTTAATTTTGCCATGAATAACTTTAGACGGAGCTTGTCACCTTGTCCGGCTAATTCATGCAATTTCATTGCAGCTGTTCCATTTACATGAATGGTTTTTATGAATTTAGAAAAAATGCAGTCCTTGGCTTGTGAATGTTTCGATGGATGCATCAATTTCCACCGAGTCAAATTCCTTTTCATAGTCGACAAAGGCCAGGCACAGTGGTATTTGATATGCAATCAATCTCTCCAGGAATCAGGAGTTTTAGATTTCATAGGTACACCAGATAGAGTTGTATATATATGTGTACTGTGTGTATGTATGCGCATGTCAACGTGTTTCCAGTGTATACAACATGTTTGTGTTTTTGTATAGATGTCATGCACATACGTATATCATTGAATATATAATGGTGGAATGGTAAAGTAGCGGTGGACATGCTGCTCTACGAACCCCCACCCGCGTTAGATTCCCGTTCACGGCCAACATCAGTAACGAATATCTGAACTGGTCCTGGGCCTCCCCTAGGTCGACTCGGCCTCAAATGTGTATCTGGTACAGTGTGTAAACATTGCCACACGGGAGACGTGGTGCTGGCCATCCACCCCCTCAGTGACGTTCCAGCCACCATAGGTGCTCGCTAACAGCACTTGCCCCAAAAGTTTAAAGGCTTATACGGGGGTTCTTTATCTTTTGTGAGGCTTGTGTACGTGCAGCATATCTTGAAAAACATCGATGTATGTATGTTGAACTTCTTTCGCACTGTTCGTAGCCAACCGTGCAAATTGGAGGTGTGGGGGAAGGACAACAATGGTACTATACATGTAATGCAACTCTTTCTTATGATTCAATGCATTTTTTTAGGTCCTGGATTGGCTCTATTTTTCTGTCGATGTTGACCACGTGGAACGTAAGAGCCTCAGCGGTCGTGTGAATCGCTCACGTGCGTCATAGAGAATCGAAGCGGTCGCTTGTCACGTGACACGGATTGATGCTTGTATCATGAGCGTAACAGGCGCTGTCGTGAATTTACATAATTTCGCCCGTGCGATATTACGCACAAACGATATCATGTTCTCCGGATGGTGAGACGGATTTTCATCATCTGTATTTTAAAGGAAAAGTTCGAGGTGAATCTTATAATCCGGTAGGTGTGTGTGTGAGAGAGACCAGATCTGTACGACTTTATTGACACCAGCGCATGTGTGGGGTGCGTCTTACTTTCCAGAGCATCCGACAATTCGGAGAATATACTAGCTCGTACAAAGTTAACCTTCATTGGACATGAATTGTACTCTAGTAAATAAATGTCCCCTCCTTTAAAACGAGGACATACTGCTGGACAGTCTGCAATGTATGTACTATGTTAGTGCATGGGAAGCACAACACACTCAAAACAAAAATCAGTTGTGAAGAAATACATTTTCAATCTAGATTTGAAAATGCATAGCGCCAGTGGCTTCCTAATATCGGAAGGAAAAGCGTTCCAGACGGCCGCAACATTGCATCTGAAAGCACGCGATGCTATGACCATTTTTGCTCGATGGCTCGTCAAAAGCCGCTGCGAGAATGACCGATGTTTGCATGATTGTTCATGCTCCTTGACGAGATCGGCCAGGTATTGTGGTTCATTTTTGTGGCAAGCACCTTTGTGTGGAATGAGTGTGAAAGTAGTTCCTGAATGACATCTGCAGGCACAGTTCACGTGTGCTGCCCTGGTTAATGAAGTGCAGAGCTGCGTGGCTGTGCCGTTGAGGTCATGGATGCTTCTGGGTTGGCTGGAGCATGGTGGCATTCTGAGAACTTGAGTTACCCTGTACGCAGCATCGCATTGCCTCGCCCGGGCCTGCGTCTAATTATACGCAGG